TTCAAGTACTTTATAGCTAAATGTTACTCTAAAAGTCCAATTTCACAATCTAAATTAAAAATTCACAAATTACAAAGGACTGCCAGTCGGATTTGGCAATTTATCTGATTATATTTATCTGATGAAATTTGATCTTATTGAAATTATCTTATGTAGCACATTTTCTAATTGAGACGCAGTAACTATGTTTGAAGTATGACTATTATATTTTTATTGTAATCATAATAACAACAATTTGGTCAATTTTATTTTTAATAAAATATTCATGATAACTAATAAAGAAGACGTAGTTACAATGGTATTTTTAAAATTATTAAGGAACACGTAGTTTTTTCTTTCTTTCAAAATGAATATTTTTTTTTTGAAAAATCATGTATACGTAGCACATTTGTAAGTTTCTAAATGTAGCACATTTTCTAAGTTTGTTTGTAAATGTAGCACATTTTCTAAGTTTCTAGCACTTTATAGCTAAATCATACTCTACAAATTCACAAATTACAAAATTAACTACATCTATACTCATATAATTAAAAATTAACTAACCTGAAAATAGGCTTATCTCAAAATTTGGAGAGGAATTCCTTCTTCAAATACCTTGATAGATTGGACAATGATATAGTAATGATTATGTATTGAGATATGAAAATATAAGTTTGAAACAAATGTATTTATAAGGGGCCGAAAATTAAAAAAAAAAAAAGGAAAATTCCTGTCGGAATTGGTACTTCGGGCTCAGAATCTAGCTCGTATGGTTCTTCGGGTAGCTCTACATTGCCCCATGTGGTGTCTACTTCATCGTCTGCATCATCCCTTGTGGATGAATCCACATCAGCACAAAAACCTTGTTCATAATCTGGGTCGTCCGACTCTTCACCGGAGTCTGCATGAATTCAAATGACTTAATGGGTTAGATTTTGTTTGAAGGCGTTATATTATAAAATGTGAGTTTATGTAATCGAATGAGTTAAAAATTACTAAAATAAATACTTCTAAACAAAATAAATTTTTTCTCGAATATAAAATTTCTTAAAATTACAATGTAACAATATAAATATATAAAATTTAAATTATATAGTTTTTTAAAATAAAACAAAATAGGCAGCAGGAAGATTTTTTAATTATAAAACAGTTATTTAAATTAAACTCCCCCCTAGTCGGAATTGCTCTATTCGACATGAAGTTTTTTTATTTTTTTACATTTTAATTCAACGGCAGTTAAAATTGGATTCAATACACTAATAAAGATAAATGAAATAATGAATTTGTACAGATATGGTTTGGAGAGAATAATGAATTTGGTAGATGCGGTGGATGCGAAAAATATAAAGGAAATATTAAGTATAATATGCACTAACTTAAAATTCCAATTTCACAAAGCTAAATTAAAAGCAATTACAAAATACAAAATTAACTTCTCCTACACTCGTAAAACCAAAATTGAAGGACAATTCTAAATTAAACACTCTCTCTAACTTTGAAGTATTTTATAGCTAAATTTAACTCTAAAATTCAAATTTAACAATCTAAATTAAAAATTTTGCAAATTACTAAATCTACTACGTCTACACTCCTAAAACACCTAATTAAGACAAATTATAAGTTAGCAATCTATGTATAGCTTTTTTAACGACGTGATACTATCTCCGTGTAAATCAATATCGTAAATATATAATTAATATAAGTAATATATAAATCACATATAAGTAATTAGGTACGCGTAATATTATTATAAAGATATTAAATTGAACCGTTATTAATTAGCCTAATTATGCATAATATTAGTATTATTTAATATATTATACTAGAGATAATATATACTTGTATGATAGGATAAGTATATAATTCACTAACTAATACATATATTACTAATATCACTGATATATACTCATTAACTCATTATGCCAATTTAACTAATATTTACGAATTACTAAATTAACTACTTGTACACTCTTAAAATGATAACAAATAAAATCAAATCATTGTAAATTCTACTTAAATTGAACAATACATACCGGGAGTTTCATAGTTCTCAAACATTTGGCGGTTGTTCCTCCGACCATGTATTGATGATGGGTCTTCCTCTCCGGGAGTTCCGTGGAACGCCAAATTTTGTGGCGGGGTCGCTGAAGCTTCCACGTAAATGTGCAACTCCTCATACTCATTTGTAGCGATCCGGAAAAAATGATGCCATGTCCGCTCATCGTGAATGGGCCATAATCTAGAAGCAACATATACGGAATTCTTATACTTAGGCAATTTTCCGTAAATTAATTTAATTTCGGAAAATCCGTCGCCTCTAACATGATTTAGAACTTTCTCATGTATAGTAGTATAATCATCTCCTTCGCTAACCCATAGTACCGCCCTAGGAGGTATGGAGTACTCTATTTCATCATCTTTTTGAGATGTAGAGCCATTCCAATGAACCATAACAACAATATTGCCCTCACTAGACATTTTTATATATGGTATATATTATAAATATAATATGAGAGGGGAATGCTAAACAAAAAAATAATGAATATATTAAAGTGTTTTTGGGTGAATATGGTATGTGCAGATGGTATGTTAAGAAAGAAAGAAGTGTTTTGGGAGTGTGTTTGTAAATTTTGAAAAGAAATGAACGGTTTTTATAGAGTTATTAGCGTAGGAGTTTGGTGAAATACTCGAACCACAACTAAACACGTCGCCTACCCCGTAGTCGGATTCCCCAATTCCGACTACGTACATGCGTACGTATACATTGGATTCTTATTTTAAATTATACTTCCACCAATCCAATTTTTTTTAAATATCAATATTGTAGTCGGATTTCCGTATTCCGACAAGGTAGTTTTTTTAAATTATAGTGCGATTAATTAAACCAAAGAATCCATTTTTTAAAAAAAAATACCCTAGTCGGAATTGGGTAATCCGACTAGGTAGGTAGATTATTTTTTTAATTACAATCCATTAATTAAAACAAGAATAATTTTTTTAAAAAAAAAAATTACCCTAGTCGGAATTGGGTAATCCGACTAGTGGGAATTGGGTAAGATTTTTTTTTTTAAATTAGACTCCATTTATTAAAGCAACAAATAATTTTTTTTAAAAAAAAATACCCCAGTCGGAAGGGGGTAATCCGACTAGAGGTAGTTAGATTTTTTTTTAATTACACTCCATTTATTATCGCAAAAAATAATTTTTTTTTTATAAAATACCGTCGGAAATAGGTCTTCCGACTAGAGGTAGTTAGACTTTTTTTTTTTTAATTACACTCCATTTATTAAAGCAACAAATAATTTTTTTTAAAAAAATAATACCCTAGTCGGAATTGGGTAATCCGACTAGAGGTAGTTAGAATTTTTTTTTTAATTATACTCCATTTATTAAAGCAACGAATAAATTTTTTTTTTTTAAAAAAACCCCTAGTCGGATTACCCAATTCCGACTAGGTGGTGGGATTTTTTTTTTAAAATTACTCTGGTCGGATTCCCCAATTCCGACTAGAGTGTTATGCATTTTCTAAACCCTAAACTCTAGTCGGAATTGGGGAATCCGACTCCCGTGTTTTGGTAACCTAATTGTCAGGCCCGCTTTTGGGAATGTAAGACGGGGAATTCCCGTTATTTGGTAATTTCCTCGCCGTTCCATCGAAGAGAAAAAAGTGCCGTATTAGGTCTGGGCAATAAAAAAGAGGCAAACCAATTTTTCTTAGTGGACTGGGAGAAGAGATGTACAAGTCGTCCTCTTTATTTGAGTAGTAAGAAAAAGTCAAGAACGGAGGAGCTATTTTGGTCTGGGCGACTAACACTTCACTAGGCGGACGATTTTCTAGCGATTAGTGGGTCTCGACGGCCGATTAGTCGCTGGAGCGACTTTAGGACCAAAAAACAGAATATCCCTACGGGAGCATGCCGCCTAGCGAATTTCCGGCGCCTAGGCGGCCGACTTTTCCGAGTTTTAGAACCATGAAAATAACTATTTGAGGAGTTTTCAAATAGTTTTTGAATTAGAAATGTACTATTTTAAAATATTTCCATGGTTGATATATAGTTTTTCACGAACATAATGGTATGAATATAATTTTTCGTAGGAAAAGCTGAAGGACAAAAGCGTGTTCAATAATTTGAGCTCGGATTTCCGTGCATCATTTAGTAAATGGGACTTTGATCCATTGGAGATGAAAGATCCATTTCCAGAAAAGAAAGGTTGGATGCAGATATGGCAGGGTTGCCAAGACAAATTCATAAACGTGGAATTACAGAGATATGTATCGAGAAGACTGCCCTGGATCCGATACTATGAAGTCCCTGATGGAGGACATTGCCTTGTCTATGATGTTGCTATTTGTGAATCCATTTTTAGAGCTCTTTTGCTTGGAGATGATCCTCACAAGTTTCGCCCTTTCTAATGTCTAAAATGTAGATTTCAAATAAAGTCAAGACTTGTTAAGGCTATCAACGAAGAATCAAATGACTCGACTTTTGGGATCATTGTTGATGATATTAGAGATCTATCAGCTAATATTTCTGGCATTAATTTTGCTCATGTGAGGCGGTCAGCGAACCGAGTAGCCCATGATTTGGCTAAGGTTGCGGGTTCTATGTTTGGTCGCTATGTTTGGCATAATTTTCCTCCTGATTGTATCGTTTCTTTTCTGAACCACGATTTCATTAATCTAAGTTGATTTGATTTTTGTCAAAAAAAAAGTCAAGAGAAAATATGGCTAAAACGCTAAATGATCATATCCAACCTGCCACGTTAGCCAATTTAAACCATGAACCACTGTGTGTTATTTATTCTCATTAAGCTCCAACTTCCCAATTTTGATATTACTATACTCCATCATATTCCGAAAAGAATCCTTCACACCCTTGTTGTGAGTTGAAATGATTCGACCGCTCGTTTTACACATGTTGCCTATAAATAGCTTGTTTACAGACAAAACATGTTCATCAATGTCCAATATAATGTCAATGAATAGACTATTTTTTAGGTAAACATAATGACCTCTGCATAAAAAAGGTTACATTTATACATAATCAGCATCCCTACAAATACAAAGAAACTACGAATGTAAACTAAGTCAGAACACGAAGAACCTCAACATCAAATACAATATTGGCATCTGATGAAGGAAGAGTTGCACTACAAAGTTTGAAGATGCACGTGTCTCCGGTTTTAAGATTGTTGCTTGTAGCAAATTCACCCCAACCATGGTTAATGTAACCACCTTTGTCACCGTAAAATGTTAAGCTAACTTGCTGTTCACCACTCGTCCCATTCAAAATTATTGATATGTTATGACCACAAAATCCATTTTCCACGCAGAATGCTCTAGGTATTTGCTGCATGTGAGTAAAACATGAGTCATATTTGCACAAACAAAAAATTTCTATTTTAAGATATAGTAAAGCCCGGCCCGTTGAATGTTAAAAAAAATCAAGGTATTATAAGTTATAACATTCTTATTCAAGAGGTGGATAAATCCTATTTTCATAAGATGATTCTATACGAAAATATGTATATCTTTGATTCGCAATTTTGGAATTCTTTCAATCTAAATAATGGAAAAATTAGTATGTAGGAATTGAAACTAAGAAACATTAAAAAGGAAGAGGGATATTGTTGTCATAATTTGATCATAATTAATTTAATTTACCATCATTGGGCTTTGTGCACGTATATTGTAGGGCCTTATTTTCTTTGTAAATTGAGGACACTGCTCACTTGAAGATATATTCACCCCCTTAGTCTCTCTCTTTCCTATCCATACATGGGGTAAACATTAAGAACTGATGAATAAAATGCAGTCGATGAATAGCTTAAAAGGTAAAGTATGAAGACATGCTTAATAAACGACGACTTAGGAAGTTAGGGAAAAAAAATAAGTTAGGAAGTTAGGAGAAACGCATCTTTTTAAAATTCTGTTAATATTTTCAAGCGAAACTATTATACTAAAATATGAAATATAATTTTAAATGAGTTGTTATTATACTCTAGACTAGACTTACTCTTTTTGTCCATCGTCACTTTTTCATGTTTGTGGAGTTGCTCTCCATCGCCATTTGGTTCTTGGGCACGTCCTTCTCCATAAACTTTCATTTTCACAACGAATTACGAGTAAAGCATAAGTCGTTTCCTTTATAATAACATAACTTTGTACATTTTAAGCAGGATTTCTTGACTTTTTAATTATAGATAATCTAAAAGGTTTTGAGAGGACTAAAAACTTATTTTGATAATAAAAAATCACAATTAAGTACTACCTCAGTTCCAAGTAGATTTGCCAAATTGATTCTTTTTGTCAGTGGTAATCAATATTGACCAACAATATTTTTTAATACGAATTTATTTTTGAATATAAAATTTATATGGAGTATAAAAATATTCCTTATTATAATTTCAAAAGTATAAATTTATAAATTATATAAAATTACAATAATTAACATTGTTGTCGTCATTGACCAAGAAAAGTCAATGTAGCAAATCTTTTTGTGACAAATGTAGTAAAACTTTTCAACTTTAATTTGTCCATGTTTAATAACCACTCTTATTTTGAACAATTTATCCCCACTATAATTTATCCCAACAAAGCCATATCTAAAGTATAATTGTATGAATTACGGGATATTGAATTTAGCCCATAATTAATAAGCCATACAAACACCTGGTTTGAGATATATACTAGTAGTATATACGTAGTACTCCCTTCATCCCATTTTGGTTGTCCTACTTTTCTTTTTGGGTTGTCCCAAAATGAATGTCTTGTTTCCCCCTTTGGCAAGAAATATATGGTCTTTATCAATTTACATTATTCTACTCAAATCTCAACTACAACTTTTACTTTTCAACCACTTTATTAATAACATTGCCAAATTGAAAGTGGACAACCAATATGGGACGGAGGTAGTACTACTTATAAAGATTGTGTATCCAAACATGACTTACTATTGTTGTATATTTCTGACAGGCCATGAGAATCCTTCTCGCAACAAGTGAGATCAAACACATTGACCTTAAAAACCAGGCGGCGGCTTATATGTTTAAAAACCACAAAGTCTCCGGCAACCAGACGGTTTTGCTTGACAAACTCTTTCCACCCATTCTTCAAACACAGCCTGTTGTTGCCTTCTTTGCATCTTCTGATTTCAACTTCGAACCTTCCTTTTCTGCCAATTAGAGTTGCTACTTTACCCGTTTTTCGAACCATTAGTTCCTTAGATATAGCTGGGGGGAGTATCTGTATATGTACACCCTTTGCATTTTCAGTTTCGGTTTTATAACGTAATTTATTGTTAAGACTTGAGGTTCTATCCTAACATGTTTCATACAAGGATCGTAGTATCTCACAGTCAGATTTCCATCGAAGTTTAATTTCATTGTTACTAATTCACTCTTACTTTTTTTTGGACAGCAATTCACTCTTACTTTAAAAAGCGTATATTGTTTTATAGCTTCATGTCAGATTTCATCCGAAGTTTAATTTCACTGTTTTCTTCCCAAAAATATTACGGAGTACTATTGTACGAATTCACTCTTACTTTGAAAAGTTATATTGTTTTGTTGTTGTAATCCAACTAAAGATGTTCGATTTGGCCATAAAAACTTAGTCTTATTTTTTAAATATCCATACTACGTATTAAACATAAATAAAGAGGTCAGAAATTTATTGTTAAGACTTGAGGTTCTATCCTGACATGTTTCATACAAGGATCGTAGTACCTCACAGTCAGATTTCCATCGAAGTTTAATTTCATTGTTACTAATTCACTCTTACTTTTTTTGGACAACAATTCACTCTTACTTTAAAAAGCGTATATTGTTTTATAGCTTCATGTCAGATTTCATCCGAAGTTTAATTTCACTGTTTTCTTCCCAAAAATATTACGGAGTACTATTGTACGAATTCACTCTTACATTGAAAAGTTATATTGTTTTGTTGTTGTAATCCAACTAAAGATGTTCGATTTGGCCATAAAAACTTAGTCTTATTTTTTAAATATCCATACTACGTATTAAACATAAATAAAGAGGTCATAAATTAAAAAGAATAGAAAAGGGTGGGAAATAACGTAACATACATACCAGTCTAGTACGAAAGCCAGGCATCAAGACCTTGAAAAATCTTGGAAGTTTGTTTTCCATTGATCTGTTATATTACCAAAAAAATCATATTTTACCATATATATCCATACGTTACATTTATTGTCTACAACTACACATACATACGGATCGGAAACATCATATCCATAACGGAAGTTTATTGGGTAAATATTATATAGAATACACAACAAGTGATTACTTTAGGGAAATTTACCGGGATATGACTAAAACTCAATGAGTTTCTCAATCTATGACCTAACAAGTTTTTATACCTTTGTAGGACCAAAAATCCAAGAACAAATAGAAAATTCATTTATATTTAAATGTTAAATGACAGAAATACCCTTATTTAAAATATGTGCATTTTGCACTAATTTCGTCCAATTAAAATTACTGCACTTTATATTGCCGTTAATGCACAAAATTAATGCATGAGTTTACTGCACATCCGGTAATAATCACTGTACTTTCCCTAAAATTAATTCTCTTCTTATTCAATTGAGGTTTTTTTTTTAAATTTAATAATTTTATTATTTTACGTTTAATTAAGTACATTGCATTTGATGATGATATCACTGCTTTGTGTTACTACAATACTAGTCATAATCACTGCATAACAAAATTTCTTAATGCATTCGTTCACTGCTATGTACAACATGTCTATTATTTATTGTCATATTCGTTGTCATATTCAAGACTTATTGTCATATTCAGTAGCTAATGCTCAATGCACATGTTTAATGTCCATAAACCCTAAATTCAAACAAACTTTAATTTCTTTTTTTAAGGAACAAACAAACTTTAATTTCAAAAATAGAAAATTAAAAAGAACCGTTTTCAACCCATTTCAAGCCAATGTTCTGTAATACCATTCCAATACTCAATGCATTCACATTTTCAACGTATTCCCATTTTTTCCCAAAGTTCTCTAATTCCGAAGCCTGGCTTTCAAATTCCATCTTCAAGACCAGCCTATCTGGCGTAAACGACGCTCCATTGACGCTCTGCAGTCATGATTGAAAAGAATAGGAGGGGCAGCAGTAAGGATAAGCGATCCAAAAAGAAGAGAAGAAGAAGCTAAGTGATGGACGACCGCCGCCGCCGCCTTATAAGAGTGAGCTTTTCTCTTCGCGAAATCAGATTTGGGAAACTGGGCATCTTCTTGTGCTGGCCGGTGGCCGGCGGGCGGCGCCTTGACACCCAGGTCGGGCGATTGTGCTCCCAAGCTAGAGAACGACCTTTGGAAGGCGGCGGCGATGGACGGTACGTGGCTGGCAGCTAGAAGGCGGGCAGAGGTTCGACGGCTGCTGTTGTGTGGGTGAGTGGCAGAAGTTATACGTGAGAGGGTGTAGTTAGGGTTGTAGAAAATGAGTAGAAGGTTAGGATTTTATAGGTATAAACTAAGGGGTATATTTGTCCATAAAAATTAATTATTATTTATTAATTACGAATTTTATTTAAATATCATGAATTATAATATTATTTTGAGAAAAAAACTTGTTAGGTCATAGATTGAGAAACTCATTGAGTTTTAGTCATACCTAGGGTAATTAACCCATTACTTTATTACACATAAAGAAGATAGATAAAAATACTTCAATTAACTAGTACGCACCGATTAATGAAACTGCTAGCTATGGCGGTTGAATACTTAAATCTAATTCTAATTGTATATCCACGGATATTATATACTCCGTATATGTGTGTGTGTGAAGAAGAACGTTGCTTTTTTATTTTATTTGTCTTTACATATTTCTATGTATGTTTAGTTATAAGTATAAAGTATATCACGACATCACGTCTTTACATATTCCCATGCATTGCTTTGGGAAGTTCATAAACGGCGGCCATGAATACATAAATACCTATACAAGGGCCGGAATTTTATCACTAGAACTAGAACACTACCACCTTGATGAACAATACTAGATTACTAGCCCTTGTTATATATACATAGTACTCCGTATAAAATATTAGGCATCCTTTTTGTAATTAAAGAGAAAACTCGAGAGATTTACTTGTTGCAAATTAGCAATAGGATCGGAAAGCTCTCTTTCAAAAAAGGAATCTCCCACACAATCAAACTTGTTTCCTTCCGTACTCGAAAGATCTAGAGTTAACTTTGGTGAACATTACTTTATTAGAGCATCACCAATGTAAAAAACATAAACTATTGAGTAAAATGCATGATTTTTATTGAGTAAAAAAATGTAATAAATATTAGTCACACAAAACTTTCTAAAAAGGGAAATCTGGACAATTTTTTGGAAATACCCATCCAAGAAGGAAAGTGGAACAATCTTGCGGGATGTAGGGAGTACTAAATATGTTGCTCAATATCTATCTTCTAATTTAAATGGTTTTACGTACATGTTTTTAGTAAGATTTTCTTCACAATTGAAAAAACAATGTCTAGATGCAAATATTTTAGTTGACATTGTGGATTCAAGATATTTTTACTTGGACTATTTTCAATCCCAAAGCAGATCAGACTTAAACAAACCAGACCAGACCAGATCAGACTTGACTTCTCTAGTTATAAAATACACAGAGATCACACGTTTACTATGCCGACCAATTCAGACCAGACTTAAATAGATCAGACCAGACTTAAACAGACCAGACCAACAAATTGCCGTCCAAATAAAAACATCCTCAATAGCATATATAAAATTGAAATTTGGATATATAATTATTTGATTAAATCAAGTAAATACACTAGAAAAAATTGAATGGGGATCATCAACGTAGGTGATTATGTGAATTTTACTTGTATGGAGATTGGAGAACATATCCTCTAAAATCTTTGATTTCGAGTTTCTTCAAAATTGAGTTATTGGAGGTTTACAGAGATTTTCTTCAAAATTGAGTTATTAATTTTCATAAATTGAGTTTCTTTCAATCTAGGTCGTCCTTGTCACAATATCAATAAAAAATATAGTTGGTGAACATAAACTAAACCTATAAAAACAATGATTCATCTAGAAACAAACTTGATAATTTAAAGCATATAGGTTATGTTATACAATACATACAACCAATTTACTAGTCGTGAAATTTAAACAATGATGTGAAATTTCTCGCACTCAAAAATATGTAGCAGTATAAGGTGTAAGTACAAGTATGTCTCCACAAGGAACTAAAAAGAGAATCAAGAATTAACTAAATTTAGTGATTAAAATAAATAAATAAAATGCAATTGTGCAAGATTTGATTGAAGGGAAAAATTAAAATGCAAATAAAGAAACTAAACTAAGGGGTTCTTTCTAGCGACCGTTCTAGGTTACAAGAGATATCAATTAAATCATGCACACACAAATTAAATAAAGATTCATGCAATTAATCCATCATGAAACTAGCCATACATCATGATTAATCCCTTCATCAATCCCAAATCCCTAATTAAAACTACTCACAATTCACAATATATTTGAGATGAAAAAATTAATTGTCATTAATTAAAAAGATGGAACTTACAAATAATCCCAGAGTGTTGAAGAACAAAGCCGAAAAATACGTAGAAATTTGTCCCTAGGCCTCTCTCTAAGCTCCCTCTTGAAAACGGGGGTTTATAGGCTGTTTAAATAGAAAAAATGGAGCAATTCTGGCCGAAATAGGACACCGGGAGCGCACGCACGGCACCTACGCACACCGTGCGTCCCCCAGTGCGTCTGGAGCAAGAAACGCGCATCCCGGGGTCAGGCATGGCGTGCCTTCCTGGCACGCACGGCGTGCCTAACCGGCAGTAGCTATCCCGTGATTTTCTTCTTCCGCGCACGGCGTGCGTACTTCGGGCGCACGGCGTGGTTCGTTCTCTTCCGAATTTGATGATGCTTCTTTCATATAAGTTGTAGATTATAATGAAGTCCTCTATCCACCAAAATTTGCAAAACTGGATTTGAATCATCCAATCAAAAGATATGAATAACATGGTGGAAGGTCGCATTCGGAAATCTCAACAGCGATTATCTGAATTCCTCGTCTGTTTTCACCTTGCTTTTCTCAGATTTTCGCAATGGTGTCTTCATATGATTTGTAGCCCTTGAAGTTGGCTTTCATATGGAACTT